TATAAGTAGGAAGTGACAGGGGCAGTGGGTTTGATAGGAGTTTTCTAGAAGCTTGGGTTTTAGAAGTGAAGAAAACAAGTAGCCAACTTCTCACCTTCATAGAGTTTAGAGTAGAGAATGAAGGAAACACATATAAAGCAATTAAATGAACAAACTACTGTAACATTTATTGAGCATTAACTATGGGCTCTCTTATACGTTCATCGCATGTTTTAACTCATTAACTTCACTAAACCTAAAAGATTGGTTTTACTTCTGGCATCATCTCACAACAGACAAAGACAGAAATTAAATATGTTCCCTTGCCACAAAGTTATTAAGTATAAGTGTTCAGTCCTAGGAATTCTGGCTCCAGAGTCTACTATCATAATCACCACATGATGCTTTTACTAGTATGTTATTATAAAAGAGCAAGAGAACAGTAGGTGGAGAGCTGCAGAATGCTAAAATATGGCCTCTTTGAAATCTGATGATAGGAAATGGCCATTTAAAGATCTAGAAGCAGAACATTCAGAGCAAAAAAACAAAGCTGTCATGTTGCAGAAACAAGAGATCGCCAGTATTGCTATAGCATAAGGCAGGGCAGTTAAGAGTGAGATGAAGTGAAAAGGGCAGGTGTAGACTAGTTTGTGAAGTCTTCAAATCTTGGTAAAGAACCTGGATTCTATTTCAAGAATGCACTGGAGAATTTTGGGCAGGAGATATAAAAATTTTAACTCATAAGACAATTTTGATCACAGTGAAAAATTAATTAGGTAGGTGAAGGCGGGCTCTTGTGGAAATAGAGAAATTTTAATTCAGGCAGTTCGTTTCAAGAATAACACTTTTAACCACTACACTATGTATTGATTTAAGGCATGGGGCTTTGGATAAAGGCACAAAATAGATGGAGATATGAATCTTGGGTTCAGGAAGGACACTGAAGCCAAAGATTTTACATTGTATTTTGGTATTTCTGACATGCAAGTATTAGTAACTCATAGCATGGGACCATATGAGATGACACAAAAAACACAAATACAGCAAAAAAGAAAAAGAAGACCATGAAGCTAAGGAAATGGAATGCAATCATGCATGGTAAAGTAGAGGGGCAACCAAAAGAGGGGCCCTCAACAAGATGGACAGACACAGTGGCGACAAAAATGGGCTCAAATGTAAGAACAACTGTGAAAGTGCTGCAGGACCTGGCCGTGCTTCATTACATTGCACACAGGTTTGCTATGGGATGGTAGAGATTCGATGGCATCTAACACCACCAAGGGAATGGCATGGAAGCCATGTCTGACATCCTCTAGCTTAAGGGAAGGAGAATACAATTCCACACCAGCCCAATTCTCATGACACACCTCACACATGCCTCTACCCTCAAACCTTATTGATCCAATATATTTTGACACCAACCCCCCCCAGCCCCCTCCCCCCACATACACTATTTCTCACTATTTCAATCATTGTTACAACAGCCACACAGAACTCACAGATAATACTCATGATTACGGGCTTTTAAGGAAAGTTAACAGTTATAAGTCAGAATCAGAAATGTTATCGACACAGATCTTTGAAGCCCTTTCCAGTCATGCCAATAGGCATACTTGGTTTCTGCCCTACTTGGAGTAAATGTTATAAAATATAAAACTCTCTTAGCAATGCTAAGTGTCCAAAGGTCATCCTGTACTGCATGCCAGCCTCCTGCCTAAAGAAATTTGGCTTTTTCTGTTCTATGGACCAGAAGTTTACTATTCTGCTTATGGTCCACCACTTGGAGCTCAGCCCTTCCTTCTCTGTTATGTCTCTGTATGTTCCTACTTCTGAGAGGGTTCACTTTATACATAATAAAATGGTAGAACTGACCAATCTGTAAGTTAAGAGTTCTCTACAACTTATTTGTAAGCTCCTACCCAGTCATATACAGGAAATTATACAGAAGACTAGTGATAGAAGAATACCAGGTAAATTCACTTCACCACAGAAGTCTATTCTTTGCTTTTCAGACACCAACAACAGGAGATAATGGTTAATATGCAGTTTCCTGGAAACTTTATCCTCCTATAAAAGAAGGTGACACCATTTGCCTGTCAGTTTGTCATACTATGATGGCCTGTGTGTTACTGTGATGCTAGAAGTTATGTCACTGGCATTTCAAATGTCAGCAGGGTCACCCAAAGTATACAGGTTTCAGTGGAGTTCTCAGCCTAATAACAAGACTACGGAGAGAGACTTGGCTGCCCACTTTAGAGCGGAAGAAGTCACAGAAAACCTTATGTGTAGTTTCAAAACACTGTCAGATACGGAGGGCCTAATGAATGGAAGCAGAACACTGTCAGAGATAGTGCCAGAGGATGAGTGCCTCGGGACCAAGGGCACTAAAATGTGAATGAGTAGGAGCTGTTTTCTCACAGTGGAATGGACTATAGTGACCTGCACAGAGTAAATTTTGAGACAGGGGAGCCTTCAGGATTTTCATTTACTGTTTGGGCAGTACACAAGGAAAGTAGACAGAGTTAGAAAAATCTGCTAATGATCAGAACTTAAAACATATGAAGTATGAATTTAGGAAAATTGGAAGGTGTCCAAAATGAAAGTGTATAAAGATCAAAATTCTATACCTTAGTGAGCTGAAACAGACTGGTATTGGTCATTTTGAATCAGACTATCATGTGATTTACTGTGACAATGAATCATACTATCACATGATTTACTGTGACCATCCTCAATTATATTATTTAAGAATGGTGTAGTATTCATTGTCAACAAGAATATCGCAAAATCAATCAATCAATAAGTACAATACTGTCTATGATAGGATTCTAACTATCTGCCTTCAATGAAATCCAATCAATACAACTATTATTCAAATTTATGCACCAACCACAAAAACTAGTGATGAAAAAGCAGAGAATTTTACCAAGGGCTACAATCAGAAATTGATCAAACATATATATTCAATATGTACTGATAATTATTGGAGATTGGAATGCAAAAGTTAGAAACAAGAACGGTACATGGAAAATATGGTCGTGGTGATAGAAACCTATCTGATAGGAATTTGCATGACCAAAGACTTGTTCATGGCAAATTTTTTTCCCCACAACACAAAAGGTGACTAGATACATGACTTTTCCAGATGGAATACACATAAATCAAATTGACTATATCTGTGGAGACACTGGAGAAGTTCAACATCAGCAGCAAAAACCAAGCCAGGGGCTGACTGTAGAACAGATCATCAATTGCTCATATTTAAGTTCGGGGTAAAGCTGAAGAAAAGAAAAAAAAAAGTTCAAAAGAGCAAAAATATGACCTTTTTGCCTATCCCACCCACATTTCGTTACTATTTCAAGGACTGACTTGAAGTATTGAACACAAAAGATAGAAGACCTGATGAGCTGTAGGAGAACCTCAACAACTTTTTTCATGAAGAAAGAACAGGTCACTAAAAAGACAGGAAAGAAAGAAAAGATCAAAGTGGCTATCAGAAGAGTCATCTGACAATTGCTGTTCATCTTCGAATAGCTAAAGCAAATGGAAGAAAAGGTGAAGTCAAAGAGTTAAATAGGAAATTTCAATGGGCAGCTCAAGAAGACATAGCTAAGTATTATAATGAAATGTGCAGACCTAAAGATAGAAAACCAAAAAGAAAGAACATGCACAACATAACTGAAACTAAAAGAACTCAAGAAAACATTCACACCTCAACTTGTGTGTAGTTACATAATGTGGTGTCAACTTGAGAATATTATGAGTGAAGAGGTGGAGTTTAGCCTGTCAATCTGGTCGCAGCTTGATGATCTCATTTGGAGGTAAGACAGAGGTAAATAGCTCACTGAAGGCCAGACATACTCACTCTCTCTGCTTAGTCTTCCTGCTGACAAGACACATGGAGCTATGCTGATGGAACCAAAGCCCTGGAGCTTGATGGAGCCACATAGAGACCCACACCAACACTGAGATGCTTCCAACACCACTGGATCCACAAGATTTTCCACTCACTGGCTTATGATCTTCCTAGATTCAGCATAATTGCATGTCTGCATGAGTCTAAAGAGGAATTTATGCACTAGTAGCAACATATGGACTAATATCGAACTTCTGGACTTGATCTGGACTGGGCTGGGATGTTTTCTTAATGTACAGTTGCTCTTTTGTATAAAACTCTTTCTTACACACGAGTGTTTATGAATTTCTTTCTCTAGTCAACTCGGATTAACACAATTTGAAACACTGAAAGATTCTATGGGAAAAATACTGGTTGATGCAGAAAGCATAAAAACAAGAAGGAAGAGGTGGCAAGATGGCAATCAGGTAGGCAGCTCATTCTGGAAGCTCTGTGGAGCGTGGTGAGTAGGAAGATCTGGGGGCCAAGGAGGGGTTCCAAGGCTGTCAGTTAATTCCTGTAACAGTACAGGGCACTTCCCTGAACCAGGAGCTAACTCCCACCCCATCTCCTGAACCTATGGTGGAGTCCTGAGGACCTGGGCCTGCCGCAGAAACTAGTCTGGCCAGGCACAGTTTAATACCCCAAAGGGCATGGGGCCCTCCTGCTGCCCGCTGGTGGATTTATCCTCTAAGATTGGCACTATTCTTCCTAACATTTCCCTGCCCTGCCTAACATTTCACAGCCCTCTAACAGACATGGGTGGGCCCTATTTCCCACCCAACTGCCTGTCCCCATTGCCTCTAGCCGGGATCAGATGACCACCACCTCTGTCCCATGAGTTGAATGCTCCCGTGCCTGAGCCAGCACTTGAATCTATACCATGGCCTGCACAGCCGTGAGCAGCCCCTAAGGAGGCCTGAGAGTTGCTGGAGCGTATACAGGCTGACCTCAGATGCTGACAACTAAGAGGGTCATCCAATCTGCCCTCCAAACAACAGATTTCCGATATGCTAGGGTGCAAGGGAAACCTTGGCGGGACAAAGGTAAAACACAATTCCTCAGGGCAGTTGGTACAGACATTCACACCAACCTCCCAAAGAGAGAGCCAAGGGCTCTCTAATACCCGGTGAAAAGGGCACCAAGTTCCTCCAAAATGTCACGTAAACAGTAATCTGTCTCAACAGCTTCAAAAAGGAAGGAGAAGAAACAAAATCCAATGTCAGAAGAGGACCTGAACCTAATGGCACTCAGAGTGCTGTTTAAAGTCATACAGGACACGGGGAAAGCAATACAGAATAAGAATGACATGATAGAGGAGATAAAGGCCGCATACCAAAAGGAAATACAAAAGCTAAGGAACAAAAAAGCCAGTAGAAAATTCACCGATGGCACCAACAGACTTGAGGACAACCAGGCAGACTTCAACAAATGGGAAAAGCATTCAGATATGATAATCAGAGAAGCTGAAGAACACCTGAGAACCATGTCTGATGCTATGAACAGGAACAACATTAGAATTTTTGGACTACCGGGACAAGTGACAATGAAGAAGTCATCAACAAAAATAGCGATGGAATTCTTAGAGAAGAAAACTTTTCCAGCTGAATTAATGAAAACCAGTCAACCATACAGGAAGCCAAAAGAACACCAGCTAGACCAATGGTTCTTAACCTGTGGGCTGCAACTTCTTTGGGGGTTGAACGACTCTTTCACAGTGGTCGCCGATTCATAACAGTAGCAAAATTACATTTATGAAGTAGCAATGAAAATAATTTTATGGTTGGGTGTCACCACAATAAGAGGAACTGTATTAAAGGGTTGCGGCATTAAGAAGGCTGAGAACCACTGAGCTAGACTGAATCCCAGGAAGAAGTCACCAACACACATAATAGATAAACCATCCAGCTTTGAAGAAAAGGAAAAAATCATAAGACCAGCTGGAGAGAAAAAGCAGTCACCTATAAAGGCAACCACCTAAGAAGATGCTCAGACATACCAGCAGGCACGATGAAGAAGAGCAAGTGGAGTAACATATTCTGAAAACTGAAGGAAAACAACGCAAACCCAAGAAGATTCTATCCAGTGAAATTACCTATAAAGATGAATAAAGAATTAAGAGCCTTACCGGACAAAGAAAAACTAAAAAAATCAGTTAAAAGAAGAAGCCCTACAAAAATCCTTGCCGACCCAGTATGGGCAGAACAACACTCACCGAGCAAAAATAAGAGACCGCCACATACAACAACTCCACTCAGAGCTCAACAAAGAGAAAAGCGCCCTCAAGATAGCATTGGCTTAGGGTGAAAAGAAGGCAAGAATGAACCACACACACAAGCACAACACACTGTTAAAATGGGAGGTAGGAAAACATCCAACACAAAAGGTACTAGATGACATCAGAGTTCACAGGTGGATGTAATAACTCTGAAATTAACACACTGAACTCAGCAATAAAAGACACAGGCTAGCTGACTGGCATGGAAAACACAACCTGTTGATCTGCTGCCTTCAAGAGACACATCTTAAGATTAGAGACAAAATTAGGCTGAGAATCAAAGGTTGGAGAAAAATATGCCCCAAAAAACGGCAATTAAAAAAAAGCAGGGGTTGCCATAGCCATTAACAAGAGATAATGGAGGGGCACAATATAATGCTCAAGGGAAGAGTAGAGCAAGAATCAGTGAGCATAATATACATATGTGCCTGAGAGAACTGCGAAATTCTTCAAGTGCTCTAAAACATGAAAAAGAAATCATAGGTTCAACAATTATTGTAGATAACTTTAATACACCACTTTCTGAGAAAGATGGATCACAGGGAAATAAGATTAACAAGGAGGCTACAGATCTAAACATTACAGTTAGACAAAATGACCTGGTGTTTTCAGAGCTCTCCATCTAAATGCAAAAAGTTCACATTCTTCTCAAGCCCACATGGCACATACTCGAAGACAGACTACTTGCTGGGATGCAAGTCGAATCTGTGTAAATTCAAGCTTATACAGACTCCCCACTCTGATCACTATGCGATAAGGATGGAAATCAACAAAAGGACGAGTAAGAAAACAAGGGCAAACAATTTGAGGATGAATAACTCTATTGCAAAAGGAGTGAGTACTGGCCCAGATCAGAGATGAAATTAGGAAGGAAGAGGTGAAACTATCGTTATTCGCTGATGATAAGATTTTACATATGGAAAATCCCAAAAGCTCCACAAGGGAGTGCTGGTAGCAATAGAAGAATATGACAGAGTGGCAGCATACAAGATCAACAAACAGAAATTTATAAGACTGTTATACACATCAGACAAGACCACAGAAGAGGGGATCAATGGGGTAGTACCCTTCACAATAGCCAAGCACAAATCGAAATATCTAGAGATATACCTGACCAAAAAAAAAAACAAGATTTGTACAAGGAAAACTGCAGAACAATATTACAAGAAACCAAGAGTCACCTCAACAAATGGAAGAATATCCAATATCCCATGCTTGCGGATCGGAATACGCAATGTAGTAAAGACGTCAGTTCTGCCCAAGGCACTTTATAAGTTTAGTGTTATCCTGATTCAATTTAGTACTACATGTCTCTAAAAATCAGTGATGAATGCATGATTGTCGCATGGGAAGAATTGGAGGGAATTATGATCAGCGAAGTTAGTCAAGCAAAAAAGGATAAGTACAATGTGAGTCCACTGAGTTAAACTTAAAAAGCAAAAGGGACATAGGGGAAAAGCAACTATATGCATACATTCCTGGGTTGAGGTCCAGGCATTAGGGCAAGGGGCAGATCCAATCCAGAGATACATATGGCAGCTAACTAAAAAGGAGGGGAAAAGAAAGGAAAAAAAAACAAACCCAAAACACATGGGTAGTGGGGGAACAGGGCAAGTCAGGGTATTGCTTATATCTCTACAGAAGAGGGAGAGAGGCACCAGATTTCAATCTGGTGCACCAAGAAGCTGCTAACTCACCATCCAATCTGCAGGAGAATGATGCGTATTTTTACCTTCATATAGCTTACAGCTTTGGATATGCACAGGGGCAGTTCTACTATGTCCTATACCAAAACCAACCTCATTGCCATTGAATCCATTACAACTGTTAGCAACACTGTAGTTTCTGAGACTGTGACTCTTAAAAAAGAGGGGAAAAGGGGCAATGTAACTGAGAGGAATTATGGAAACCCAAATGAAGGCTGAACATGATAGTGGGACAAGAGGAAAGTAAAAGGAAATAGAGGAAAGAACTAGGCAGCAAAGGGCATCTATCAAGATCTAAATACAGGCATGTACATATGTAAATCTATTTATATATGATGATGGGGCAACAGATCTATGTACATATATTTATAGGTTTAGTAATAAGGAAGCAGATGGACACCAGGCCTCTATTCATGTACTTCCTCAACACAAGAACACTTTGTTCTAATAATCCGGCATTCCAAGATGCTCACTTTCCCAACACAATCGCTGAAGACAAAGTGGGTGCATAAGCAAATGTGGTAAAGAAAACTGATGGTGCCCGGCTATCAAAAGATATAGCGTCTGGGGGCTTAAAAGCTTTAAGATAAACAAGCGGCCATCTAGCTCAGAAGCAACTAAGCCCACATGGAAGAAGCACACCAGCCTGTGCGATCATGAGGTGTTGATAGAATCAGGGATCAAAAACCCAGAGCAAAAGATCATAATAAGAATGGGGGGGTGGGGGCTGCGAGTGGAAGCCCAAAGCCAATCTGCAGACAATTGGACATCCCTTATAGAAGGGTTGTGGGGAGGAGACGGGCCAGCCAGGGTGCAGTATAGCACCGATAAAACATACAGCTTTCCTCTGGTTCTTTAATGCTTCTCACTCCACTATCATGACCCTAATTCTACTACAAATCTGGCTAGATCAGAGCATGTAGATAGGTACAGATAAGAGTTGGAAACAGAAGGAATACAGAACAGATAAACTCCTCAGGACCAATATTGAGTGTAGCCATACCAGGAGGGTAAGGAGAAGGTGGGGGAAGAAAGGGAAAACCGATCACAAGGACCTACTTATCATTTCATTTCCCCTTTGACCCATTTTAAAGTTGTTTTAGCTTTTAATATTTTCTCCTTTTTGATTGAAGTTTTACTATGTATTGTCTAGTCACTGATGGTATTTGTGTGCTTGCTTGCTTCCTGATTAAGGTCCCATTACATTTTAACCTAATCGCATCTACCATAATTGACTTTACAACGCTCTCTGATAGACAACAATCCCAAGGCTATTCACATCCCTGGACTATATTTAAATGGGGTTCACTGGTGGCCAATCCATGTGTGGACCCTGCAAATAGATTTTGGGCTTCCAATGTGAGCCATAGCATTGCGGAAACTAAGTGTTTACAATTAGATCTCTGGCACCATTTCCTCCTTTGGATTTGGATTTTATTATTTACAAGCCTTGCATCACACAGGCTGCTGTTGCTTCTTCATTGTAGACTTATAGTTGATGCCTCACTTAGAGACCTGCTTGTTTGAACACAAGCCTTTAGATCCCAGATACTATTCTTTTTGATACCTTTGCTGTATCACAAATATCTTCACCAATATCTTCAATGGTTTCTTCATGAGAATTAGTATCAAGCAGGACCATGTCACAAGAAATAATTGTTCTTAAATCAGGGTTAGCGTTAAGTGTGACTCCCAATTCCATTCATTTATCTATGGTTTATATAGGTATCTGATTTACTTTGGAAACATCATTAGTATTTTATGATGGAGAGCATTATATATCAACCCCTTTGGGTATGCAGTAATTGTACTTATAGTGTCATTAATTGAGCCAACAGTATAGAATTTAAAATAATGTTGAGAAAAGGAAATTATACATATACAGGGTTTTTAAAGGTATACATACAAAGGAGATATATGCTTCTTGGGTACTATCTGGGATCTCTATCTTGTTGCTTGGGAGATCAGATATGAAGATTACATAATCTGAAGCATAAGCTTGGCTTTGTCTTATTTAGTAGTAGTGTCATACAGTATTTGTTCTTTTGCAATTAGCTTCACTCAGCATAATAGTTTCCTGGTCCATTTATGTGATGAGGTGTCTCATGGTAGTGTGTTGTTCTTTTTACTTCATTGGGATTTGTTGTAATGTAATCTCGTCCTTTTCATCTCTTATTCTAGGCATTTGCATATTTTCTTTCTT